TAGTTGTAACACTGTATAACCTTGTGTTGCTTGTGTTTTATTGTTGCTTCTGTAGTTGTAACACTGTATAACCTTGTGTTGCTTGTGTTTTATTGTTGCTTCTGTAGTTGTAACACTGTATAACCTTATGTTGCTTGTGTTTTAGTGTTGCTTCTGTAGTTGTAACACTGTATAACCTTGTGTTGCTTGCGTTTTTTTATGGGTTGTGGTACTAATCACCATAGTTGTTTGTGCTTTATAAATGAGCTACCAGTACTCAAATATGTGAAGAATCTGTAGAAAAAAGCACTAAAGCATTATAAATGTCAATATCTTGTGACAGGCTGTGTTGCAATTGGTCTTCTAATGTTATTGGCCTGTATAGTTTACAAACGATGGTATATTCAGGGAGTTTATTGGGTATGAATCACATCCCATAGACCTATTGTATATCATCCTTGTAAATTAGGCAATTTATATGAAGTGGCTACTTTTAATGCAACCTGGACAGTCATAATTGAGGTATAGAATGAATCACTTCCCCGAGACAATATTATCTTTCTACAATTTTTACCGTTGTATTAATCATTGGCTGCCTTATCAGGTAACGACTTGAAAATTGTCGTTTTGAATTTTCTTTGAAAATGCCCTCTAGTAAAACGCCGCTGTCCATCCATCAAGAATCCAAACAAAATCATAGTCACTATTGCATTCGGTCCATTAGAGATACAGCTACTTAGTTTAATTTATTAGCGCCATCACTATCATCACCATTCCTCCATCGTCGTCATAATCATCATGTCGTCGTCGTACGCGTCGTTACTAAATAACGCATGAAACCTTTGCATTTTTGTGTGGGGAAGGTTACAGGGAATATAATTGTCTTCCCGGGTATTGCCTAACTCAGCACATCATTTTCCAGAAAGAGCAACGCAGTGTTCGATATTTTCCAGCAAACAAGTTTATTGTATTGAACATGACATACAAATAAATTATTAAACATAAATACTGTATTGAAAAAGTACAAAAAAATCGTGCTATAGATAATCATTACTGCTATATTGTTGTAGGCTCTACCAAACTGATAATGTTCTTACTTTTTCGTTGCACATATATTATTAATAACTAGTAACATGTTTACATGAGCCCATGCGTTTAGACTAGACAATGGAAACCCATCGTGTTAATGTGACAGTCAATAGCTTACGGGACGCATCATCTATCCTGACTTAGAGTGGCAATGTCCCGGTGATGGTTCCGAAATCATTTAAAGTGACTAAATCAATCTTTGGATATGATCGAACATATTCATATTTCACACTAATAATTATCTAGTTATTATGCATGAGGCAGGCAACTTTACCCCTGATAGGGAATGTCGTGAACAAGCTGCAACGAGTTATGTTAAATTCAAAGTGCTGATAATATATCTATCATAGTTGATTTTGAAAGAAAGTGAATTCTTCGATCAAGCAGGCAGGTGTTACTATTTAGGCATGATCTTCGATTTTATTCGGCGTTTCTAACTACCAAAGTTACCTAAATAGGAGCACATTTTCACTACTCTTAACAAGTTTGCATTTCTCATTAGTGCGCCACCTCGCGACAAATTAGTAGGTACATTGACGTTCAGATACCGTTACATTTAGATAATTAATATACTAGAATATGTCTACATGTGGTTATGTTTATACTCATCACCGATCAACACTATACTGTTGATATTAGGCCTATACTGCATTCAGCGTGTTAGTAATTATGGCCTCGGCCCTAACATGGAAAGGTTACCGAACTACCAATAGTTCCATACTTCCAGACAGCAGGTTCTCTCTGCTCTTAGTTATTCGACCATCAGGAAAAACAAACATACGACATGCATCACAGATATCTTCCATCCCAAATTTTTTAGCTACCTTAAATATATTCACACAATCCCGAGCTACTAAGTTGATTTTACTTGTATAAAGAAAAGAAGCAAGTTTTCGGAAAACCTCCGGTTTTAATTTTGGAATATTTACTTCTAGAATACCGGCTCCATATTTTTCTGGTTCGAAGAGTTTCGCAAAAAATGGACTGAATGACTCGAGCATAATTCGATGACACATAAAAGTAGTCGTGTTGAACCGTACCATTACATCTGTAAAAAGTTCTTCGTTTCGAAGTCGGTTTAAACCGCGGAGTAATTTTTTAGCATGATTTGGATCAGAGAATGAGAATTCCTCAGTAATTGCGTTGCAGTCAGATATTAGCCGGTGATGTCCATTTCCGTTTTCTCCGTTTACTGTTAACAGACCATTCTCTTGGTTTGAACTTGCGCATGTTTTCCGTTTCCCATCCTTCTGTGCTTTATTGTTATTATTTTCGAAAACCATATCATCGGAATCACTTTCAGTGTGTACAGGTAATTTATCCGGTTTCGGATTTATTGAGTTCTCTCCCTGCAAACTACCCACGCTTATTGCACTATCGGATCGAAATCCCGAATCATAACTCCCGGGCGAAATTGTTCTCGGTGTATCTTCACATTTACATTTCGTTTCCGTCTGAGATGAGGCATCAACCATTGTAGGCTTTTGTGATACACCATCTTCTGGAACCGTAATTGAATTCAGAGTTTTCTTGTCGCGAACTTTAGCAGATCTTGCAGCTACTGATGTCGAATCTCTTCGCCGTTTTGAGCCTTCAAATTTACGATTGGTGGAAAAGTTTGTGTCCTTTTGTAGATTGCGTCCATTGCTGGATGTTGTAATGTCTTGTTTTGATGAGCTATTCAGACGGGAACTCGAGGATGTTCGTTGAAGAGCTGATTGCTTATTTTTTTCCATTGTGGCTTGTCGTGTAGAATCGTAAAGTTTTGTATTCGAAGACCACCTCTTTGGCTTATCATTTGCTGTTGTCGTAGCTAAGGTACTCTGTTTTGGGCGCGACAAATTGTTTAGCCGACTTGCCGACGCAGATCGCTTCTTCATCCGGACTTGAGAATTTTCTTTGTGAACGCTCAAATCTCTGTTTCTCTCTAACACTCTCCTTCCATCGGGCGTACGTGCCCTACTTCTGGTACTCTCCGACGACACATGACGAGATCGCGCCGTAGACCGTTTACGGTATCGCCCGAGGTGTTTCCGACAAGCATCGACAACCGAACTAAATTGTAGAATGCTTGCTGCTTCGTTCAGAGCTTGAATCTTTTTCTTGGGTATCGCTAACTCTGCGGTGTATGCGTAGTCTATCAGTGCGAATAGAACCTCTGGATCAATGCCGCTTAGTTCAATGTATTCAGTTCGAACCTTATGAGTTGAACTTGTCAGTATGTCAAAGAAGTAGCTACTGACAGCTGACAAGACAACTCGATGGCAATGAATCTCGAACGAATTAATCTTGATAATTAGATCTGTCCCTCTATGTTCATTCTTGCAAATTCTAAAAACTTCCAATACTTTGGTGGCATGGTCGATATTGACAAAATCCTCACCTAGGCAAGACGACGGCATTAGGAGGCGGTTTGAGGGGTTGGCCGACCTCCAAGCAGACTGTGGTGAATCTAGTGCAATCGAAGCGATTGAGTCAGGCGGCGAAACCGGCGATTCTTGAAGCGATATATCTGATGGATACTCCGAGGCGAGAGATAGCAATGTTGTTGAATCGTTTGCTGTCGTATCCTCTGCCGCCGAAGACTCACTTGTTGTCGACTCCATGGTGAAGCCTGTGACCTGCGCCCTTTCGCTGGTCTGAAAAATACAAAAAATAACACAAACCCTTAATTTTTATTTTAAATTGCCTCGATTTGAAATATTTTTGTAATAATATTCATGTTGACGATAATGAATTAATTATGATAATGATGTTATAATATACCGGTAGTGGATTTGTAACACATTCCTAATAAATATCCGAGAATGTGACACTTTTTTATTTATTTTTTTTTTCTCTTCAGCGCTACGATCTTGATCAGTGTTGCACAGTATATATGTATATGATAATGATAACAATGATAAATGATACTACGGTAACAATAATTTATAAGCATGAAGAGTCGAAATCATTTGCAGTGTCGTATGAGCACTATTATAATAACACATTAACAATGACACAGTTATCATTTTATCCTCCTTTATCGAGTACTATCGGCACATTATTGCCAAGTGGTAGTGAAGTTCTGGCTTAGTAGATGCTCGCCTACCAGCCTCATGGAAGGGCTGCATGCCTGTTACGATTGGACTTGTCGGAGAACAGCAGCTTTTTAGGTTCACCCAGTATAGATAATTATTTGTTTGTTTTAATGAATTCAAAATTTCACAAATTATCAAAAGACAACATATGTGTTATACTGTGATTTGATCATCACAAACTGTAGGATATAATAATTTGCACTACCAGCACATTATTATACATTTTATTACAGTAGCATAGGCCTATTATACTACATACATAATCAGTATGGTACAGACATATCTTACTGACGCATCGTGAATAAAATAAATATGTAAACTGCAACTACTGTACATAGCCTATTAATAGAGCGTACCTGACTCTTAATTTAACATAACGATCATAAGTAAAATATGCATTTTATTCTATTAATAATTGATAGAGTATACGAACCCAGATATCTAATTATCGAGTATGAACGTATATTGTTATGATCCAGCAAGAAGGTGATACATTGCTTGTCAAAACGATCGCACAGGATTTCATAAACGATAACAATTGATTTATCCACCTATAAAGTAATCTCTTCTCGATCATCAACCATCTCATCGCTAGGCCCTACTACAAGAAATTGCTACTAGACATGTTCAGGGAATGGATGACATCTGTAGTGACAATGCGTTGTAAAAAATAACTTACGGAAGGAAAACGACCACACAACGGAAACCACTCTCAACAGAGAATTTGAACAGGAGTTAAAAACGTCAACGAATGGTCATTACCGTGTGTAAATAGCTATACCATCCGTGCGTTGGTTTTGAATAATAAACGAATTATAATAATAATAGTAATATTAATAATAATATAATTATGCTGGGTAGGTAAATAATACAACTGGTATACCATCAGCAGATACATTAGTTAGACCAACTTTAAATACCTGTATTGATTATTATATTAGATAGTCTGCAAACACAAGGCGGTCATCTCGTGGTCACATTTGTTTGCCAGTACTTAATACTGTACTCTGGATATAAATATTACCTGCAGAGTGCATAGGCCTATGTATTTTCTAAAAATTTTAATCATTTTGTAAACCAAAAAATCAAACCACAGGCATTTTATGTCCACAAATGAATTACTATAGGCCAAACATGTATTTATTATGAATTATATATATATTGGAATAGGCTCTAGAATTATTTTTGATTTTTATAAATGCGCATAGGCTTCATCAAAGTCCTACATTCAACTGATTCAACATGTAAAATAGACCTATGATAAGTACTATAGCCCTATACACGATTTGGGTGCTAAAATTATCTTATAAGTATTCTCGATACAATATAACATGCCTGGCCAAGTGAAACTTGTCTTTAGAAAACAATATGTATTTTGCCGGCAATTTCCACAGCAAAGGATTTACTTAAACTATTCATGTATGGGTCTATGTTTACCTAATAAAAGCATAATGCTTTCATCGAAATTAAATTAACTGTCTTATGAAAACTAAGTGTAATACAAATTAGAGCAAAACAAACAGATATATGTTAAATGAACTGCAATTCCAAATATGTCAGCGGTGCGTATAGATTTACATGGTTCTGTTATCGAGTCTTCGAGTTCGCTGATTTCAAGGCATGTTAATTGGTAACCTTTTTATTATGCTTATTCTGGTTATCTATTTTAATTCCAGAGCCAGTTATTATAAATATATATGGGATGAGCCTGTCTTTTACATTGCAAGCCAAAGTAACAGTAAACATTGCAGATACCTATCCTCCCTACAGATAATAACATTTTCGTATGTGTTATTATGTTGATTTTATTGCTGATTTTCCAATATTAATATTTTCTCATATGTTGCCTAAAGTAAGGTAGCAATACGGCAGCTGCAGGCCTAGGCCTACATACAGTTTTATGTGATGACGATACAGTTAGATAGGCCTAACTGTACAGTCTCTATCAGTGCTCGTTTATACACCTACTAGGCCTAATAGGTACAAGTCGAAAACTAACAGCCCTACTACCTAAAGTATTTCTCATTTCCTGAACTCATACTGGTTGTGTCACCTCATTTTGTTTATCATTCTATTTCCATGAGATAAAATACATATCCTGCAGAATTCCAAATATTCTGGTAATGAATAGGTAGGCCTACTCTCGTGACTAGTCTCATAGGGCGGGCAGGCCTATGTGTGTGCATAGAGCAAAGATGTGTGGGTGTGTTTTGAATGTACTACGTGGCTATTATGTGGTGATGGTTAACAAATATTAAGTCAGAAAGAAGGGGAGGTCATGTCAACCCAAGGAAAAAAAAACATATGGGTATTTATAGGTCTGCTGTAGGCTACGTAAAAAACCGTCTAGACTGAACATTTGGTTAATAAATACACACACGATACTTTTGGCTGTTCATTCAATAACGTGTGAATTGAACAATAGTCTAAATAACCATAACGGCCTTAACAGTTGATAGGCGTACGATGGAAAAGCCTGGATGAGGAAGTAGGCAGTAAGTCTACTCAATATACAGTTTTGACTCATTGGGATACGCCGGTCAATATTTCCTTTTCAATGGCAAATATTGCTAATTGTGTTAGTTTCCTTTTATCAGTAACTCGATGTAGCTCACTTAAATTCTCTGAAAGTTAAGTGTAGGCCTATATATTGCGATTGTTTTTTTTTTTTTTGTTTTGTTTTTTGTTTTTTTTTTTTTCAGTTTTTTTTTTTTTTTTTTTTCAGTGGGCTTGACTATGCTATGATTTAATCTAATGACCGGGATATTGTTAATGTAAATCGCAAAGAAAATTTGGTATTACACGATTTTACCTGCTCCAATGAGTGTTAACACTGCTTTAAAAAAAACTAAATTTGTAAATAATCGTAATTATGGTGTTTTTTTTTTTACTCTCATCAGGGAGTTGTTATAGTGACTATAACACTATTCACTATAACACTATTCACTAGTCACTATAACAACTCCCTGCTCTCATTTATATTCATTATTATTATTACTCGCAAAAAGGCCGCCTTCGCTTACTGGGGTGGGTCCAGGTATTTGCAGGAGGGGGTGCAGAAAGAAGAAAACCCATGGATATTCATTCATTCACCTTTTATTATATTCGGAATTTCATTTCATACAAAAGAACAACGGTTAAACCAATACAAATATACAAAAAATATATATATATATATATATATATATATATATATATATATATAATGCCTATATAGATAACGTAAGTTTAAATGAATTGGGGAACTCCCATCTATCAAGAGACTTAAAGCCAACAATAATATTAGCCTTAAAATTGTTTTCATAAATGATCCTCACCCCTAAAGAAAAATAATCTGCTTTATTTACTTAATATCTGTAAATAATCATTCTGTGAAGTCAAGTCGAATTATAATTTTAGGTAGACCTTTGGAATAAAGAAGAACATGAGCTAATAATAATTTTTGGTTTATAATGTTAAAGCAAGTAAGATAGGCATACTGGTAAAGAATGTGGTAAAATGGCTTACACAATACATGGTAAAATGAGATGGATGTAGCACATTCATTATTCGTGTCGTTTTGACTTATTTTAAGACATTTAAAAGAATGGTACTACGATATATTTCTTCCATAGCTGTGCACGCGTCTGGACGGTAAATTTGCATTATTTTCTCCTTACTCAAATTTTAGTATATGAGTATTATTACTATTCTACTATCAACCCGATCGAAATTGTAATACCTAAACCTTAGACATTTTTTAATCTGCATGGTAATATTCCTTACTATACACAGCATTTCATGCAATACGGCATTATACTCAACACCCGGTTTCCATTAACGAGGAATATATAACGAGGAATCGATATCAAACTGCGATGCATACTAAATATAGTTGCGAGTTAAATTAATCACATTCATCATTGTCATTGCGGACGATTCGTGAATCCCTCCACGAGAAGTTATCTGAATTCCTAACCATGTGATGTACTTTGTCAAGAATCCGTATTAGTTCTACATGTCACCATGACAGTACAGTCAGTTGTGTACGCCTCACGTACTAGACGTGCATGCATGCAGATATGCATAAAAGAGGATGTGCATTTACGTCATAGCTAGCCAATTTAAAGGATGGATAGCTGAGGATATTTACTAGTTCGACATAACGCGCATCATGAAAATGAGCTTGGGATCCGCGTGGCGATCATTATTACGTAATCACGTTTTTCTTCTACACTATATCTGTTTTTGTTTATTATAGCCTTCTTATATACATTACATACGGTATATATACATTATATAGGCCTATTATAGCTTTATAACTATTATATATATATATATATCTGTCTCTTATACA